GCCCTAGCTGTTATGGTCATTCGGGGAGTAAACCAGTTGGTGGAAGATCTCTCTCTCTCTCTCTGTCTCTCTGTCTCTCTCTTTCTCTCTCTCTGTTCTTAATTCTGCCTTTCAAACAAATAAATATTTAAAAAAAAACTAATTTATTTGATGGGGCTGGCTCGATGGTGCAGTAGGTTAATCCACCTGTTCTAGTCCCAGCTGCCCCTCTTCCAATCCAGCTCTTTGCTATGACCTGAGATAGCCGTGGAAGATAGCCCAAGTCCTTGGGCCCCTGCACCTGCATAGGAGACCGGGAAGAAGCACCTGGCTCCTGGCTTTGGATGGGTGCAGCTCCAGCTGTTGCAGCCAACTGGGGAATGAATCAGCGGATGAAGACCTCTCTCTCTCTCTGTCTACCTCTCTCTGAATGTAACTCTACTTATCAAATAAATAAATAAAAATCTTTAAAAAATTAATTTATTTGAAAAGCAGAGATCTTCCATCTGCTGGCTCACTCCCCAAATGCCCACAACAGCCAGGGCTGGGCCAGGCTGAAGCCAGGAGTCTGAAGCTCCATCCGGGTCTCCCACATGGGTCGCAGGGAGCTGAGACCTTGAGCTGTCTTTCTCTGTCTTCCCTGGTGCAGTAGCAGGGAACTGGGTGGGAAGTGGAGCAGCTGGGACACGAACCGGAGTGCATACAGGGTGCCAGTGTCGCATGGCAATGCTTGTGCCTGTCTCCTTTTCAAAGTCTCCTAGGGGCCGGCACCTTGGCATAGCAGGTAAAGCCGCCGCCTACAGTGCTGGCATCCCATATGGATGCTGGTTCAAGTCCAGGCTGCTCCTCTTTCAATCCAGCTCTCTGCTATGGCCTGGGAAAGCAGTGGAAGATGACCCAAGTCCTTGGGTACTTGTACCCACGTGGGAGATCGGGAAGACTCCTGGCTTCCTGCCATTGCGGCCATTTGGGGAGTGGATAGAAGACCTCCCCCCCCCCTTTTCTCTCTCTCTGCCTCTCTGTAACTCTTCCTTTAAATCAATCAATCAATCAATCTTCAAAAAAGAAGCCCCTTTGTCCTGTGCACAGGATTCAGTCGCTCTATTAACTTTGTGTCCAGAAGCCTAGCTCAGTGCCTTTCCACTTCTAATAACTTACTGGACCTTACCACGGGAGGTGAAGTTCCAGCTGAAGGTCACCGTGAGCCCCATCCCTCCCCGTGACCGCGCCCCTCTCCTCTCTGGCTTCTGCATCCTCAGCCCCCGCCTTGTGGCCATTCAGGTCCCCACAGCCGGTTCTCTGACCCTGTCCTGCCCATTTAGCAAATGGCTTAATCCTCTTAGGCCAGCAGCCTCAGCATGCGGGGTGGGGGCAGGGTGGGGAATTAGATCAGGTTTCTGGCGGGGAGGGCAGAAGGAGGACACGTGACAAGCCGTGTTTGTGTGTGTGTGTGTGTGTGGGGGTGGGTGGGTGGGCAGAGCGTCAGGATGCGATGCAAGCCCCTTCTTACTGGAGAGAGCCCTGGGTGCAGGCACAGGAGTGTCATAGCCACACTGCGGCCAGGCTTTGCATGTGGACGTCCAGCCTGACGGGGTCTGAGTCCCACCCTGGGGCTTCCTGGGAATGAAGAGTGGGTTACTTCACCCCTGGGTGGGGGCGGACGTGGCCCCGAGCTGTGGCCAGCCGGACAGAGAGCAAGCGGCAGAATCAGAGCAGGGTCCCCCCTCCCTCATCTCCACTCCCTTCCACCTGCTCCTCCCAGGCAGCCCCAGCCCCTCCTGCATCTGGGGTCACCTGCTCCCATGTGCTGTGTCCTGAGCATCCCCTGTAGAAGTTTCTGGAGTCCCGGGGGGAGGGGGAGGGGCCTCCTCGACAGGTGCTAGGGCTTCTGCACATCTGGGCTGGGCCACAGCCTGGATTTCCTCTGATCTCCTTGCCTGTAGAAGAGGAGGCAGCCAGCTGTCTCACCTGGGACCAGGGCCCCAAATTCGCCACCACGGATGGCCTGGGAGCTACCACAACACTTGGGGTGGTTTCCATGGAGATGCTTGTGGACCCCAGCAGCACCCCCTGGGGGAATCTGTCCCACACGGAGGGAGCGAGTCCGTCCTTTGCACCTTCAGCCAAGGGGTCTTAATTATGCTCCAGGTGCTTGGGGTGGGGTGGAGGGGAGGCGGGCCGATGTGTCCTCTCCCGGCCAGGACTGGGGAAGGTGGACACTGGGAGCCCGGGACAGAGAGTGTCACTGAGTCAACAGGGAAGAGAGGAACTGCGTTGAGACGTTCAGGGAGCCGCCTGGGCTCCAGCCGGGCCCAGAGACACGGGACCCCCTTGCCCAGGTGGGACAGAGCCAGGAGAAGCCGACAGGAAGAAGGCGACGGTTGTCCAGGCTTCTGCACGTGAGTCTCTGTGGCTCCATTGCCGGGATGAAGAGACTGCAACCAGAGAAAACGAGAGGTGGCCCATTCTCCAGCAGGGACAAACTGAGTCTCCACAGGATGCCCAGGAGGGGGCACTGTTTGACAGAGGGGAGGCGGGGCTCCCACAGAGGTCTCCATCCAGCGAGAGCCACCTGGCCTGGGTCTGCTGGTGCTCCTCGGGCCCCTGTGGGCTACCCAGCCAGAGCCTAGGGCTTTGGATCTAGTTTGTGGCTCAGTGTGTCTGCGTGGGCATGAGGCTGCCGGTCGGGTGCCACCAGTGACATTGCTGCTGTTAGCTGAGCTCTTGACCACGTCACACATCGGGGTCACCTGGGGAGCTTCTCCCAGGCCAGCTGAGCAGTGTCAAGGTGGGGGAGGGGCAAGAGTGGGAGCTGTGTTTTTTTTTAAATCTTTTTTTTTGGAGGGGGTCTGACCATTTAATGCAAGGGCTTGCAGGTGCAGCTGAAGAAGTGTGGGCCCCGAGGAGACCCGGCGCCCCGAGCCGGGCCAGCCGCTGCCGGCCGCCATGTTTCCCAGTGCCTTGCCCAGCCCTGCGTGGGTCCCACGGAGCTAAGGTTTCACTGCCGTTATTTTATTTCCCTAAAAGAAAATTCACTAGTGTCTTATCTGGTTGCTGCTTTTCACAGAAATCGATTGCTACAAAACACTTAAAAAGTAATTCTAAATAAACGTGTTTTCATTTTATGTGTGAGAGAGATTTCCCACCGCTGGTTCACTCCTCAGATGTCTGCAATGGCAGGGGGTGGGATCCTGCAACTCAATCCAGGTCCCCCAGGTGGGTGGCAGGGCCCCAGGCCTTGAGCCATCATCTGCGCCACCCAGGGTGGAACTGGGAGTGGAGCCAGGACTTAAACCAGACACTCCACGGTGTCCCAAGTGGTGTCTTAGCTGCTGTGGCAGGGCTTGGCCCCATAAAAACACTTTTAATGGTTATCAATTTCTTTTACAGTACATGAACCCCATAGTCACTAGTAAACTTGTTAATTCAAAATATTTTCAAAACTCCTTTAAGGGACTCTTTCCCTGAAAGCCTTTGGGAGAAAATGCTTTTCTGACAGGAAACAAAGCAAAAAATTGACTGTTTTGTCCATTACTTCAGTGTTCCCAGAACTGTGGGGTCAGATCAAAGAGGGGGCCGGTTCAGAGGCACCCACAGAACTGGAAGAGAAAGCCCTATCCTCGCATGTGTTGTGACATCCCCTGGCCACCAGGGGGCAGTGGCACACCACTGTTCCCACGCTGGGGACTTCGGGGTGGGATAGGGAGAGATGGGCACATTGGAGTGGGAGAAAAACAGGGGAAAGCCACTGAGGTAATATTATTATTATTATTATTATTATTATTATTATTATTATTATATCAGTGTAAGTTAACCTAAAGCCAGACAGCTAGGAAATACTAGTTTGGCCAGGCTGTTTGGACGTGGGTTTACAGCATCTGTGAAGTCCCCACACACATCCCATGAGCTGGCAGACCCACTCCCGGGCGGAAATGCCCACCAAGACACACAGAGAGACACCAGCTTCCCCACGGCCCGTGTCCAACGTGATGGCTCGAGGAAGGCCCAGGGCACTGGCCCGGCCCTGAATCCCACACAGGAGCGCCGCTGTGAGGTTTCACGTGTGCCCGTCTCCCCAGGCTCTGGCGAGTGTGCGCGTTGGTAGCAATGTGCAGCAGATCCAGCTGCTCCGTTCCCACAGCCCAGGCAACGTCAGCACTTCTGCTTTTATTAAAAAGTTTGAACGTTTGTACCCAAGAGGCAGAGAGGAAGGCAGACAGGGAGGACTTCCACCTGCTCGCTCACCCCCAGGGGCGCTGGAGCCGGGAACTCCATCCGAGTCTCCCACGTGGATGACGGCGGCCCAGGCACCTGAGCCATCGCTGCTGCCTTTTTTTCCCAGCTCTGTCCAGAAGCTGAGCCAGGAGCGACAGCCAGGACTGCCTCAGCACTTTTTTTTTTCTTCTCGTAGCCATTTTACTAGCCATGTGCTGGTGTCCGACTACGTGCTGCTAAAGGCCAACAATGCAGCTGCCTGTATTTTTACAAAGGTTTATTTATTTATTTGAAAGGCAGAGGGAGAGAGAGAGAGAAGATAGACACAGAGCGATCTTCCACCCACTGGTTCACGCCCCAAATGGCCGAAACAGGGCTGGGCCAGGCTGAAGTCAGGATCCTGGAACTCCATCCAGGGCTCCCACATGGGCGGCAGGGGCCCAAGTAGCTGGGCCATCGGCTGCTGCCCCCTAGAGTGCCCAGCTGGGACTTGAACCAGGCACCTGGACAAGCGGTGCTGGCGTCCCAACTGGCCAGTTAACCGCTGAGTCAGCGCCCTTCCTGTGCATTTTCTGAGTATGTGTGTGTGAGGAAGTGAAAGGGGGTTACCCAGGTAGTTTTTATTGTTTATTATTGTTACCCTGGTACATCTTTAACAAGCGTGTGCTCCTTCCCCTGGGTAATTCAAGGCTGCGGTTAAAGGGTTAGGTTTTGTGCCCAGGACCCTTGGTCATGCACGAAGACACAGTGATGGGGGGGGGGCACACGGCAGGGCCTGGGCAGGGTCCAGAACATTCTGGATGTTGTTACCATGGGAACAGCTCTTGGGGGAGATCTGCCATCTTCTCCTTGAAGACTTTGTCGAATTTTTCAGCTTGGGTTACCGTAAAGTGATTTTTCCAGTCCCCAGAGATGCCTGGAAGACATGAGACAGGGGTGGGGTCAGATTGGTCATAAGGCCCCAGCACTGCCTCCTGGCCAACCTCCCCCTCCTGCCCACAGGACACGGATAATGTCGCTGATACAGCAGCACCACCAGGGCCCCTTGGAGGGTGCCCACACCTGTTCGCTACCTGCCTGGGAGCGGTTTCCTACCTCTTCTTCTTCAGCCCATCCTGGGCCCTCTCCAGCGGCGACGGCGCCATCCAGGAAACCTGATGCATCCGGAATCCAGCTGCTGTTTCCACCACCTTGACCCAAGCCAAGGTCATTTCTCACCTGGATTAGTGTCCTGGGCTTGTAACTTGGTCCTCTGGCCTGCGACCTCTCTCCCTTTACAGGTTATCCTCAGCATTCCCTGGGAACGTGGGAGACCTGGAAGAAGCTCCTGGCTCCTGGCTTTGGATCAGCTCAGCTCTGGCCGTTGTGGCCATTTGGGGAGTGAACCAGTGGGTGGAAGACCTCTTTCTCTCTGGCTCTACATCTCTCTGTAACTCTGTCTTTCAAATAAATAAAAATAAATCTTACAAAAAAAGTGCAGGGTGGTCAGCTCTTGGAGGACTCATCCCAGGCCAGAGGGAGCACTGAGAGTCCCCGTGTCTGCTCCCTTGGGTCTCTGGGGTGTTGGCTTCCACGCTTCCCTCCTCTGGGCAGCCGCACTGTGTTCCTGGAGGCATCTCACACCAGTCTCGTATGCACACACAGAACTTTTATCTCAGCCGGACCCTGGTGCGTGAAAGGAAAGCTAAGGATGGACAGCGTGCCCTTCGCTCCTGGTGCAGCGTGAGTGGCTGGGTCAGAAAAGATGGCTGTTTCCATCCCACAGCCCGGGGGCCTGGGAGTCGGGGTCAGGTGCTGGTTGGTCTGCTCTGGAGCCATGGAGGCATGCAGATGGCTGTGGTCTCTTCTCTGTGCCACACCCAGTTTTCCTCTTACAACCACGCCGGTCCTACTGGGTTAGGGCCCATCCTATAGCCGTGATTCCAACTTATGCACCTGCGCTTAGAGCTGCTGCATGCGGGCGTGGCCGCTGTGGGGCAGTGGATTCCGCTGCTGCTCGCAACCCTGGCAGCTCATTAGAGTGCCTGGCTCGAGTCCTGCCTACTCCACTTTCCAGCCAGCTTCCACTAATACATCCCGGGAGGTATCGGATGATGACTCAAGTCCATGGGTCCCTGCCGTCCATGTGGGAGACCAGGATGGAGTTCCGGGCTCCTGGCCTTGGCTTGGCCCATCCCACCCCTGGCTGTTGCGGGCATCTGGGGAGTGAACCAGTGGATGGAAGATCTCTGTCTCTGTGCTGCTCTGCCTTTCAAGTAGATGAAGATAAACAAGCAGAAGACCTTATATCCAAGCATGATTACATTCTGAGGTCCTGGAGGTCAGGACACCAGTGTAAGGAGTTTCGGGGGGAAGGAACACTAATCAGACCACAGCAGTCCACCCTCCTCCCTCCACTCCACACGCAAAATTCACAGACCCTGTCCCAGCAGCTCAGGATTCTTTACCCTACAGGAACTCTAAGTGCAAAAATCCCATCTAAGTACCGCTTACATCCTGAACGGGTGAGGCTCGGCGTCTAATTGATTCTGGGGCAGAATTCTCCTCCAGCTGCCAGCCAGACGTCTCCTTCTCCCAAGATCTGATGGTGGGGTTAGCGTGGGACAGGCACCCCAACTCCAATAAGAACCAACTGGGGAGAAGAAAGGGCCCACGGGCCCCGCACAATTCCAAACCCAGGAGGGCCAATCCCATCAGGTGTGAAGGCTCCAGAGTAACCCTCTTGGCCTTGGTGCCCAGTCTTCCTGGCCCTCGGGCGAAGGCCAGGTACCTGTCCAAGGTCATTCAAAGCACAGAGGATCTCTTTGCTCCCAGCTCCGTGTGGACTGCAGGATTCTGCAAACACGCAGCCTTCGGCGCCGCGCGCAGATGTCTTCATGCACCTTTTGGAGGCCGAGGGTCGGGGTGAGATGAATGTTCACGCAGGAGTCTCTCCTCACTGCTGCTCCCAGCGGGGTCATGTCTGTCTTTCCTTTAAAGGCTCTTTTTATAAAGATATTTATGTCTTCACCTTCACTGACGTGTCAGGGACTCCATGGAGTTCTCTGCGATTTCTCTGCCCGACAAATCGGTCAGACTTCCTCACCACGGGCTTACTGTTAACAACTCCCAAATGTTCTCTGATCATCTCCACCACTGACAAGAAAGTAAGTAATTCCACAGGCTTAGGAGTGCTGACAACTCTGCCCACTGGTGTTTTTAAATTATCAGGACAAAGAGAAACACTTTCACAGTGTGGGGTGTGACTTTCTTTTTTGATTTGGGGAAAATGCCACTAAGTGGGGAAAAAGGCTCCTTAGTAACAAATTCAAATCATTAATTGATTGTCTGAATAATGAAGGCTGAGAGAGAGAGAGCGCAAAATGAAACAAGTAACATAGGTGTCAGTAATATAGGTGTTCTTCCAGACAGGAGGTCACCACAGCGCCTCCCACAGGCTGAGAGGACCATTGCACCATGTAAATTACATGGCTCATTTTGTCTAAGGGTAGTACACTGTTCAATATGAGATTCTGTCCATATAATAAAGAATTGCAACCTCCGAAATACCCTAGTAGATGTGAGAAGGAAGCAGAGTCACGGCTTCATGTTTTTTGGGTCAAGATAGTTCTCTTTGCTCACTTACACACAGAGCAATCCCAACATGACCATCCCAAATCCCTCACACCCCTTCCCATGTCAATCCTGTGAGTGTGGCAGGTGCATCCGGTTCACCTGGCTACTGTCTGCAGAATGGAGACCCCCACGCCCAACTCTGAAGCCAGAGAAACTGAATGACCAACCCTGGCCAAATTCCTCCCATGAGCTTGCCGTCCCTACCAGACCCTGCAGAGACTCCCAGATCCCAGTGCGTGAGGCGTCATGTGGGTGGTGAGCAGTGAAGCTGGACCACTGCACGTGGCTGGGAGTCCCAGTGCGCCCTCTGTGGGATCCGACACATTCGGAATCCTGAAATCAGCTTTTACCTTTTCTCATGAATGAACCATGGCCTTCGTGGATCAGGTCAACCTCACTCAGGAGCGAATAGTTGGACATCTTGTTCTCTTTCATGGCCTGGAAGGAGCTGTTCTTGAGGACTAAGTTGATTTCCTCCGGTTCTAGCTTCTCTCCCAGGAAGTGGCAGATCTTCTCGATGGTGCTTCTTGTATCCTACAGGGAGCAGAGAGGAGATGACAAAGTGCACAGTGGCCAGGAGAGGAGGAGAGGGAGAAGAGAGGAGCAGCATGCAGAAGCAAGAGAGATTGAGTTGGCTGCAAGCGGTGGGGAGAAGAGGGAAGGCCGAAGAGATGTGGGCATCAGGCCTGCGTTTCCCCAGGGACTGCTACGTCTGGGGCACCCTCACAGTCAAACAGCCGGGGGCTTCCAAGGAGGCTCAAAGAAAGGCCTCTAGGCACGATCAGGATGCAGCAAGGAGAGGTTCCGGGAGAACTCTGAGAAGGCAGGATGGAGGGAAGTTAGCAGCAGTGGCAGAAAGGGTGGGGGAGGGTGTGTGCTGACGGTGGGAGGTGGGGATGGCAGCTACCTGCTTCAGCTCTTCATAGCTCAGTAACAGGAAGTTCTTCTGGTCTCTCAGGGACAGCCAGCCATGAACGTGATCAAACCAGGAGCCGAACACCACTGCGGGCAGCAAGAGTGACAGGTGACACACTCGTGCGAGCTGCATTAAGGTGCAACTGACACATTGCACCATGTCTGTGTTTACAGACACGCACGGCATGATGTTTTGATACACGAGGCCCTTGAGAAACGATAACATAAAGCTAATGAACACACCCAGCAGCTTGTGGTCTTGCTTTCGTGGTGTCGAGAACATGTAAGGTTTACTCTTGAGGCAATTTTCAAGCATTTGGTATGTTATTATCAACCACCGTCTGGGAAGATCTCCAGAATCTATTTGTCCTGTCTGCAATAGAAACATGGGGTCCTCTGGCCAACAGCCCCCCACCCTACCACCTCTCTATCCCCATCAGCCTCTATTCTACTCTTCTTCGATGAGTTCTGTGGGGAGCAACTCGGACTAGACTAAGTTACTGGAATTAAGACTTATTCTATGCATCTGCTCTCCCACAATATGGCGCTGAGAAGGGAGAAACAGCTTCTACACAGCTGCCTCCAGTTCAACCAATAAACTGTAGGACTTATTCCTGATTGGAGGAGAGCAGCGTACTCGGCGTGTGGGTAGCAGAGTTGGGATTGGTGGAAGAGGACTATAAAGGAGGAGAGAGACAACATGCACCAGGAACATCTAAGGGGAACATCTATCTGAAGGAACACCTGTGCAGCCCCCGAGAGAGCCGGCCAGCAGTGTGCCGCTCCCCCGCGGAAGTGGGGAAGGTGGCAGGGGGAACCGCCCTTCCACGGAGGTGGAAGGGTCGGTAGCCAACCCGGGAAGAACCAGCAGCAAACCTGGGGAGGGCCGAGCAGACAAAAGAACAGCGCAGGGTCCTGTGTCGTTCCTCCATGAAGACGGGGAGCGACAAGTTCAACCCTAAAAATATCTTTAATTGACACATAGGAATTATACGTTTTTATGGGTGACAGTGTGATATTTCCGTATATGCTGTGTAATGATTGATTGTGGAAGCTGGCAAATCTATCACTTCAGATATTTATTATTTCTTTGTGTTCGGAACGTCTAAGATCCTCTCTGCTAGCTATTTTGATATGTTCAGTTAATTGCTGTCTACCACCATTAGCCTACAGTGCTACAAGATAGTTAATAATATTTCCCTCATTCAACAGTATTCCTGTACACACTCAACATTTTTAGACACCACATATGAGCGAGATCACGCAGGGTTTGTCTTTCTGGCTTATTTCACTTTGCAAACTGTCCTCAACATACATCCGTGTTGTTGCAAATGATAGGATTTCTTTCTTTTTAAAGGCTGAATAATATTCCAGTGTGTGTGGGGGGGAGAGGGAGGAAGACAGAGAGGGAGACACACTTTTTTGTTCATTTATCTGATGGACCCTTCGGTTGATTCCTTATCTTGGCTGTTGTGAGTAGTGCTGTTATGATAACGGAAACGCAGATGGCAGATGTCCGTCAAGGGACGACTGGGTAAGGACAGAGTGGATCACATCCCTTTGGCAATGGCATCTTATTCACCCTTGAAAAGAAGGAAACCCTGTTGCTTAGGACACGTGGGCGCACCTAGAGAACTTTACATTGAGTGAAATAAGCCAGGCACAGATCTACAAATACTGCATGATTTCACTTACATGTGGAATCTGAAACAGCTGACTTCAAAGAAGAGGAGATAGAATGGTGGGTGGTGACCAGGGACTGGGGATGGGGAGGCAGCCGGAGGGGACATTAGTCTAGCGATATAAAATTTCAGTTAGGAGGAATAAGTTCAGGAGTCTTTACACCAAGATGACTATAGTTAATAACTCATGTATTGTATTCTTGAAAATTGTCAAGGGAGAAGATTTTAAGTGTTCTTACCACAAAATATGGTAAGTTCGTGCAGTAATGCCTATGTTAGTTAATACAGCCATTCCATGATGTGTACATATTTCAAAACATGTTGTACAAAAGCAGTGTGTACACTTTTATCAATGAAAAGCCATTTTCCCATGAAAATTAATGAATTATTTAAAAAAAATGGAATGGGCCATTCCCAGTTCAGGTCTATTGGGATTCTTTTTTTTTTTTTTTTGACAGGCAGAGTGGATAGTGAGAGAGAGAGAGAGACAGAGAGAAAGGTCTTCCTTTTGCCGTTGGTTCACCCTCCAGTGGCCACCACGGCTAGCGCACTGTGGCCGGTGCACCGCGCTGATCCGAAGGCAGGAGCCAGGTGCTTCTCCTGGTCTCCCATGGGGTGCAGGGCCCAAGCACTTGGGCCATCCTCCACTGCCTTCCCGGGCCACAGCAGAGAGCTGGCCTGGAAGAGGGGCAACTGGGAAAGAATCCGGCACCCTGACTGGGACTAGAACCCGGTGTGCCAGCGCCGCTAGGTGGAGGATGAGCCTATTGAGCCACGGTGCCGGCTCTATTGGGATTCATGTTTCTCTGAGTGTGTGTCCTTGTCCTTACAGACGTCTCACTCTGTGTTCAGAGAAAGAACCCTTAAGGCCTTGCTGTCACATGTGACCCGAAGCTGTGCTCCAAGGCCCAGGGTCCTGTGTGGGGACCCCTGCTGCCTATGTCCAAGGGTGGAACTTACATTCCTTTTTTTTTTTTTTTTAAGATTTATTTATTTGAAAGGCAGAGAGAGAGAGAGAGAGAGAGATCCATCTTCCATCTGCTGGTTCACTCCCCCAGTGGCCTCAATGATTGGGATGAGCCAGGTTGAAGCCAGGAGCCTGGAACTTCATCCTGGCTGGGGCCCAAGTACTTGGGCCATCTTTTGCTGCTTTTCCAGCACAGGGAGCTGGATCAGAAGTGGAGCAGCAAAGACTCAAAGCAGTGCTCATGTGGGTTGCCAGTGTCGCAGGTGGCAGGTTAACCCACCGTGTCACAAAGCTGGCCCTGGAGTTTGAATTATTGTATGGGGAAGGGGTTCCAGTGACCCCGCTGCAGGGCTGTAGACGCCTCAGTTCATTGGTATGGGTGGCAATAAAAGTTCTAGGGGGTGAGCGTTCAGCCTAGTGGTTGAGATGCTCCTGTCCCACATCGGAGCACCTAGCTTTAATTTCCGGCTTTGCTTCCAATTCCAGTTTCTTGCTAATGCAGACCACCGGAGGCAGCAGTAATGGAATGACTCGGTCCTGCCACCCATGGGGGAGACCCAGCTTGAATTCCAGGCTTCTGGCTTCTGGCCCCTTGGCCTTTGTGGAGACTTGGGGGAGTGAACCAGCAGATGCGAGACCTCTGTCTCTGCTTCTTTGTTGCTTAAATGATGAAAACTAAAGACTTCACGTGGTTGGTTGTGGATTGGGTATGAAAGAGAGGAGCCTGTGAGTAACTTGGAGGGTATTCGGGGGTGGCGGTGAGGTTTCCAGGAAGCGTCACCAGCACCCACGACAGTGGCCTGGACTCCCCAAGATTCCTGGGAGCGCTGAAGCACAGTGCAGGCTGCTCACACCCCACATGACAAGACCACCTTCAGCACTGAGTCGGGGGGCAGGGCGGCACTCTCTTCCCGTCCCGTCTCCCACTTGTGGCTCCCTTTCCTGAAAGAATGACTGGGAACAAAGCAGGGGATAGGACTGGAGAGTGCAGCTGGGAGGGTGAGACAGAGAGATCTTCCCTCCAATGGCTCACTCCCCAATGGCCACAATGGCCAGGTTGCAGCCAGGAGCTAGGAATTCATCCAGGTCTCCCAAGGAGTGGGCGCCCAAGGTCTCACAGACTGCTGTGAAGAGAAAATGAGCCATGCCACGGACGACCGAGGGTCGCCGCACAGCTCTGAGGCCAGTGAGACGCAGGTGTGGACCCCAGTGACCAGTCCCCTCTGTCAATGCAGGTGAGAAGAAGCGGCGGCTCCAGGTCATCATGCACCCATGGCTGTGGTGGCAAATGGACATTTAGTGCTCCAGAGAGGCGGGCTGGAGGCTGGCCAGGCGGCAAGGGCCATTCTTCCACCGGCATCCAACAACGAATCACTTGAGAGCTTACATTTTAGAGGGGAGACACGTGGAATGAACAAATGGGAGAAGACGGCTGCTGGTGATGGGAGCTGGGGAGTATGAAAGGAGACAGGACGGAGCCAGGGAGGGCCGCTGCGTTCTGCAGGGCACAGAGGGACGGCCGAGGGCCGCTGCAGCGCGGGAGGTGACTCCCACCTGAGGCCTGGGCCTCCTCATGCAGTTTTGAGAGCAGTGGCAAAATTGAAGGGAGCTGGAATAGCCCAGGTAACCTGCAGAATGCGAAGTGTCGAGGGCCCAGATCCAGGCAGGGGAAAAGAGGGAGATGGGTAACTGAAAAATAAAAATGATGGGAGGTGAGGACCGTGCTGTCTGGGAAGGCAACAGAAGGCTGACTTGCAGAGAGTGTCACCAACTAGGAGAGGGGGAGATGAGGGGTCCGTGTCAGCCCTGGGGACTGCAAGGGCTCCGGAAGTAGCTGGGGGTGGTGGATGACGGGTGGGGCGGGCCCAGGGCTACCTGGAGCTCTGCTGTTGGTAGGGGAGGAGGTGGGCCTAGCGGGTTTGGGTTCCAGGGAGACATGCTGGTGACAGGTAAGAGATGTAGGGAGCGTGTCGGATAAAGGACTCTGAGAATCTCGCAGCCATGTCTTACAATGTACTCACCATTCCCATCGAGGAACAACTCGAAATACTCTTGCAGCGACTTTGTGTTCTCCACAAATTTCACGTAATTCCAGAAATAATAACCAGACACGAGAACATCTCTGGGATTTCTCATGAGATAAATCACCTTGAATGGAAAGATGGAAGAAGGAAAAAAAAATAATCAATGTAGCCATTTTCCATCTTTCTTGATCGTCACAGAAATGGAGAAAAAGTGAATCCCTATATAATTCCTATTTATTATTTTTTGTTTTAAGATTTTATTTATTTGAAAGTCAGAGTTACACACACACACAGAGAGAGAGAGAGAGAGAGAGAGAGAGAGAGAGAGGTCTTCCATCCACTGGTTCACTTTCCAGTTGGCTGCAATGGCTGGAGCTGCGCTGATCTGAAGCTGGGAGCCAGGAGCTTCTTCTGGGTCTCCCACGCGGGTGCAGGGGCCCAAGGACTTGGGCCATCTTCTACTGCTTTCTCAGGCCACAGCAGAGAGCTGGATCAGAAGAGGAGCAGCTGGGACTAGAACTGGCGCTCATGGGATGCCGGCACTGCAGGTGGCAGCTTTACCCGCTACGCCACTGCGCCAGCCCTTATTTATTCTTTTAATACACTAATTACAGCATTCATGAACCAAAAATAAAATCTCAATTATGCCTATAGTAGATAACAATGGGAAAAATGGGAACGGAAACACTGCCCATTCCTTTGGTGACATTATGATTAACTCACAATAGGAAGAGACTGGAAAGCTTTGAAAGGCGAGTGCCATTGTGCTTGAGTTCCATGGTTTAAAGGTAGTGAACAGGAGAAAGGATTCACAACTTCTACATACGGGTAGGTACGCAGCAAGGTACGTCCACACATACACCGAAAGCAGGGGAGAACCTGAGTCGTCGCGCTGGGGGATGGGAGCGGGCACTTAAGAGTTCTTGCCGCAGAGTCCATGTTCGTGAAGTTCAAGGACAAGGACAACTCCTCGACAGCTGCAAGTCAGGAGGGCACTGTGTACCTCACTGGGTGAGCCTGGAGCAAGCAGGGGCATGCAGGAACTCTGGATCTGGGTGCTGGTTACCCGGTAGTACACACTGAAGGTTAGCGTGCACGTGCACACGCACACGCATGCGCACAGGCACGCTCGCTTGGGGCTTGGACATCCGAGTTCTACTCCGGATTCAGCCCTGAGTCTCTGTGGCATTATCCTTATGCCTCATCTCCTTAGGCCTCAGTTTCCAGCCAGGGATTTACCGAACACCCACAAGGTGTGCACAAGCGGGTGCATCGTAACAACGTGTGTTGCTGCATGCTGGGAGATTTCCAAGAGAGGAGCGTATTATGCTACATTTCTCATAGAGTTTAAGCATAAAACAAGCAATTCACTGAGACAAGATGATTCTGGGGTGCCCGTGGTCCTTCCTCCCTTGTAGGAGATCTGTACGGCAATCATCAATGGATGGCTATTGTGAATAGTAAGACATGGTAGCTGGAAACAACAGCTAGGACATCAGAGCCATCACACTGGACTTGCGTATTGATTCATGAATGGGCTGCTTCCTCACTGTGTGGACAACTCAGAATGTGGCGCCTTCCCCTAAGTGGCAGGAGGCATTTATTAAATTAAAGCCAGATAATTATTTTCTTTGAACACTAAAAGGGTGGTTAGCTAACATATAACTCAGCTACAGGGGCCGGTGCTGTGGCATAGAGTAAAGCTGCCGCCTGTGGTGCCAGCATCCCATATGGGCACTGGTTCAAGACTCAGCTGCTCCACTTCTGATACAGCTCTCTGCTGTGGCCTGGGAAAGCAGTAGAAGATGGCCCAAGTCCTTGGGCCCCTGCACCTGCGTGGGAGACCTGGAAGAAGCTCCTGGCTCCTGGCTTTGGATCGGCAGAGCTCCGGCTCTTGCAGACATCTGGGGAGTGGACCAGCAGTTGGGCGACCTCTCTCTCTCTGCCTCTCTTCTCTCTGTGTAACTGTGACTTTCAAGTAAAATAAATAAATCTTTAAAGAAAAAGAGCTACAAATTCTGACTGGGCTTAACATGAGATTTCCTAAGATTCTGGTATCATCATCTCATGCCACCCCTCGGGTCTGGCTGGGAAAAGCCACATGATGGTCTACCCCTCCCTCTGCCCCCCATACTCAAATGTGCTCTGTGGAGCAGTCACACCAGCCCCACCGACTGCAGAATCTCAGGCCTTCGCCTCAGGCCTCCCAAATGGGAAGGCATTTCAACAAGACTCCAGATGACTTCTAGGAGTGTTAGAAGCATGAAAGCGTTGATCAAAGCTGTCTCGACCCACAGGCACTGACCTTGGCTTTGGTCGTGTGGATAGACTTGGGGAAGATGTGGATGGGGAGGTGGGTGCTGATGAGGCGTGGGCTCTCCATTGTCTTAAGGTCTTCATACCCAGAAACAGTCTCCACCCAGGGGGAGCGGACCCAGATGGGCACAGACTGGATCTGTGTGGCATCGCCCTTGGAGCGGATCAGGCAGAGAATCTCGATCAACCAGTTCGTTCCTGGATAAAGAAAGGAAAATGATGGTCACTCATCTCACACTGATTCAAAAAAATTTTTTAAGAGATATTTATGGGGCCAGAGCTGTGGCATAGCGTGTAAGGCTACCGCCTGCAGTGCCAGCATCCCAGATGGGCACCGGTTCTAGTTCCGGCTGCTCCACTTCCGATCCAGCTCTCTGCTCTGGCCTGGGAAAGCAGTGGAAGATGAACCAAGTCCTTGGGCCCCTGCACCCGTGTGGGAGACCTGGAAGAAGCTCCTGGCTCCTGGCTTTGGATTGGCGCAGCTCCTGCCATTGCAGCCAATTGGGGAGTGAACCAGTGGATGGAAGACCTCTCTCTCTGTCTCTACCTCTTCTTCTCTCTCTGTGTAACTCTAACTTTCAAATAAAATAAGTAAATCTTTAAAACAAAATTTATTTATTTATTTAGAGAGAATCTTCTATCTGCTGGTTTATGCTCCAGGTGGCTACAACAGTTAAGGCCAGGCCAGACTGAAGCCAGGAGTCAGGAGCTTCACCCAGGACTCCCACGTGGGTGCAGGAGCCCAAGCACTTGGACCATTCTTGGCTGCTTTGCCAGGTGCATTAGCTGGAAGCTGGTTCAGAAGTGGAGTAGCTGGGATCTGAACCGACACCCATATGGGAGGTCTGTGCTGCAGGCAGCAGCTTTACCCACTGGGCCACATGCCCACTCTCACACTGACTTGTAAAAGTACACATGCTGTAAAATGTATGCTTTCAACCATTTTTAAGGACACAGTTCTAGTAGTGTTGAGTACATTCTTTTTTTTTTTTAAGACTTATTTATTTGAAAGTCAGAATTACACAGAGAGAGGAGAGGCAGAGAGAGAGAGAGAGAGAGAGAGAGAGAGAGAGAGAGAGAGGTCTTCCATCTGCTGGTTCACTCCCCATTTGGCCACAATGGCCGGAGCTGCCCCGATTTGAAGCCAGGAGCCAGGAGTTTCCTCTGGGTCTCCCACGTGGGTTCAGGGGCCCAAGGACTTGGGCCATCCTCCACTGCTTTCCTAGGCCACAGCAGAGATCTGGATTGGAAGAGGAGCAGACGGGACTAGAACTGGCACCCATATGGCATGCCCACGCTTCAGGCCAGGGCGTCCACCCACTGCGCCACAGCGCAGGCCCCATGAATACATTCTGTTCTTCCACTGTTGCTCAACCAATCTCCAGAATGTCTTTTCTTCCAACACCAAAACTCTGCACCCAGCAAACCACCCCGATCTGCTCCTCCTCCCAGCCCCTGGCAACTATCCTGTTTCCATGAACTTGATACCTTACATGAGACAAAATCATCAAGCATTAAACCTTTCTGCAACTCATTTCTTTCATTTAGCATACAGTCTTTGGGGTGCATCTGTTGTAGCTTGTGCCAGAATTGAATAACATTCCATTGCAACATATTATCACGTTTTCTTTACCCATTTATTTGTAAATGGACATCCGGGTTGCTCCTACTTTTTGACTTTTGTGAATCATGCTGCTATGAAAGACCGCTGTCACCAGCGCTGCGGCTCACTAGGCTAATCTGCCTGTGGCGCCGCCACCCCGGGTTGTAGTCCCAGTCGGGGCACTGGATTCTGTCCCGGTTGCTCCTCTTCCAGTCCAGCTCTCTGCTGTGGCCAGGGAGTGCAGTGGAGGATGGCCCAAGTCCTTGGGCCCTGCACCCCATGGGAGACCAGGAGAAAGCTCCTGGCTCCTGGCTTCGGATCAGCACTGCGCTGGCAGTAGTGGCTATTTGGGGAGTGAACTGACGGAAAAAGGAAGACCTTTCTCTCTGCCTCTCTCTCACTGTCTAACTCTGCCTGTCAAAAATAAATAAAGAAAAAAGAAAAAAAAAGAAAAGAAAGAAAGACTGGTGTTAGGGTTTTTGGCTGTGTGCCCATATGTACTGCTGCTGAGCCACGTGGTCATTCTGTTTAGTTTTTTGAGGAACTTCAAGTAGGGCTGCGCCCTTTTATACTCCCACCAACAGTGCACAATGGCTCTGATTTGTCCACATTCTAGCCAACACTTGCTATTTCATGGTTTTCTAATGATTAGTGATGTTGTTGAGCATCTTATGTACCTGTTGGCATTTTTGATATTTTCTTTGGAGAAAAGTCTATTCAGGTCTTTCGTCCATTTTTTTTTTTTTTTTGACAGGCAGAGTGGACAGTGAGAGAGAGACAGAGAGAAAGGTCTTCCTTTGCCATTGGTTCACCCTCCAATGGCTGCCACGGCCGGCGCGCTGCGGCCGGCACACCGCACTGATCCGATGGCAGGAGGCAGGTACTTATCCTGGTCTCCCATGGGGTGCAGGGCCCAAGCACCTGGGCCATCCTCCACTGCACTCCCTGGCCACAGCAGAGAGCTGGCCTGGAAGAGGGGCAACCAGGACAGAATCTGGTGCCCCGACCGGGACTAGAACCCGGTGTGCCGGCACCGCAAGGCGGAGGATTAGCCTAATGAGCCGCGGCGCCGACCTTTCGTCCAATTTAAAAAAATTATTTATTTGAGAGGCAGAGTGTCAGAAAGACAGGGAGAGACAGAGGAAAGAGAGACTGCCCATCTGCTGATTCGCTCCTCAAATGCCCACAATAGCTGGGGCTGGGCTAGGCCAAAGCCAGGAGCCAGGAGCTCCATCCAGGTCTCTCTCGTGGGTAGCAGGCAGCCCAGTACTTGAGCCATCTCCTGCTGCCTCCCAGAGTGCATATGGCAGAAAGCTGGACCGGAGGCAGAGGCAGGGCTCAAACCCAGGCCCTCGGATATGGGATGAGGGCCTCTCACATGGCAGCTTCATCTGCCGCACCAAACGCGTACCCCACCTTTGCCCATTTTTAGATTGGGTTATTCTGCTGTTGACTGGCAGGGATTCTTTAGATACAGTCTTCCAAGTATCTTCTCCCATTCTGTAGGTTGCCTTTCCACCCATTTGATGTAGAGACATGGAAAGTTTGATGTAGTCTAGTTGACTGAGTTTCAGGTTTATTGCTTGCGTTCAAACAGACTTCGACCCCACTTCACTACTTTTTTATCACTTGCTAAATTCACTGAAGACCTTCAGGTCACCATACCCAGCTGCTTGTCTGATTCAACCTCTGACTTCATCCTTAACAGGGGCTGTTGCTCACCCTCCCTGCCACACCCTCTCACAACCCTTGTGGTATCAGGGCCCCCCCCCCCCTTTTTTTAAGATTTATTCTATTTATTCAAAAGTCAGAGTTACACACACAGAGAGGGGGAGGCAGAGAGAGAGAGAGAGAGAGAGAGAGAGAGAGAGAGAGAGAGAGAGGTCTTCCATCCACTGGTTCACTCCCCAACCAGCCAAAATGGCTGGAGCCACACTGATCCGAAGCCAGGAGCCAGGAGCTTCCTCTGGGTCTTCCCACGTGGGTGCAGGGGCCCAAGGACTTGGGCCATCTTCCACTGCTTTCCCAGGCCATAGCAGAGAGCTGGATCAGAAGTGGAGCAGCCGGGACTTGAACCTGCACCCATATGGGATGCCAGCACTGCAGGCGGTGCCTTTATCCGCTACACCATAGCGCCGACCCCACGGGCCCATTGTTCTTAATTTGCTTCTCTGGATTTTCCTGTGCAGTGTCTCTCACTTTTCACTAGAAATCTAATTGACTACTTTGAGAGGAAGACAGAAAGAAGGTCCTCTCATCTGCCTGGTTCACACCCCAAATGCCCAAGAGCCAGGAACTCAGTCCAGGTCTCCCATGGGGGTGACTGGGACCCAGGTATTTGAGCCATCACTGCTGTCTCCCAGGACATGCATCAATAGGAAGCTGGAGTCGAGAACTGGTACTCTAAGAAGGCTCTCTGATATGGCATGTAGACACCCCAAGCAGGGGTCAAATGTTGTCAAATTGTTGGGTCAAATGCCCACCTCACACTTTTTCTCTTCCCACTTCTGTGCTTTCTAGGTAGACTTAGTACTCTTAGGGTTAGCAGACTACAGAATGAACAATCAAGCCAGAAAGCTGATACAGCCCCAAGTAAATGTGGCACAAAAAGAGTGCACAGCACAGCAGGTTAAAGCCCTGGTCTGAAGCACTGGCATCCCACATGGGGGCTAGTTCTAGTCCCGGCTGCTCCTCTTCCGATCCAGCTCTCTGCTGTGGCCTGGGAAAGCAGTGGAGGATGGCCCAAGTCTTTGGGCCCCTGCACCCATGTGGGAGACCTGGAAGAAGCACCTGGCTCCTGATCGGTGCAGCTCTGGCCGTTGTGGCCAATTGGGGAGTGAACCAGCAGATGAAAGACCTCTCTGTCTCTACTTCTCTTTGTAACTCTTTCAAATAAATAAAATAAGTCTTAAAAAAAAAAAAAGCAGTGAGAGACAAACTCCAAGTGTTAGGAGTGATGCTCGCCACTGTCCCTGACATCCAAGTGGGAGACCTGGATGGAGCTGCAGGCTCCTAGCTTCTTCCTGGCCCAGTCCCAGCTGTGTGGCCATTTGGGGAGTGAACCAGTGGATGAAAACTCTCTGCTGCTCCTTCTCTCTTTCACTCTACTTTTCAAATAAAATAAATCTAAAAAAATTATGGCATGTTTTATATATGTATCTGTATGAAAATTCTAAATTTATTGTTTGTGTAGCATGCTTGGAACTTTGCATGTGTCCCATTGATACAAAAGAAAATGATCTTCATACATATGTTAAATCCGCAAGGGATATTACAATGCATGTTATAAAAAAAATTAAGCGTGGCTGTCAACTTTGTTTGCACTGACATAAACTTCTCTTTTAATTTCATTTCCTGTGAACTTTTTTTTAAAAGATATATTTATTTGGCCGGCACCGCAGCTCACTAGGCTAATCCTCTGCCTGCGGCGCCAGTACTCTGTGTTCTAGTTCTGGTTGGGGCGCCGGTTCTGTCCCGGTTGCTTCTCTTCCAGTCCAGCTCTCTGCTGTGGCCTGGTAAGGCAGTGGAGGATGGCCCAAGCCCTTGGGCCCTGCACCCACATGGGAGACCAGGAGGAAGCACCTGGCTCCTGGCTTCGGATCGGCACAGCATGCCAGCCTGTTGCAGCCATTTGGGGGGTGAACCAACAGAAGGAAGACCTTTCTCTCTGTTTCTCTCTCACTGTCTAACTCCGCCTGTCAAAAATAAATAAATAAATAAAGATTTATTTTATTTATTTGAAAGGCTGAGTTACAGAGTGGCAGAGGCAGAAAGAGAGAGAGAGAGAGAGGTCTTCCATCCGTTGGCTCACTCTCCAGATGGCCGCAATAGTTGAAGCTGTGCCGATCCTAAGCCAGGAGCCAGGAGCTTCATCTGGGTCTCCCATCTGAGTGCAGCGGCCCAAAGACTTGTGTCATCTATTGCTTTCCTAGGCCATAGCAGAGAGCTGGATCCGAAGTGGAGCAGCCGGGTCTTGGACCAGTGCCCATATGGGATGCTAGCACTGCAGACTGGGGCTTTAACCCACTGTGCCACAGCGCTGGCCCCCTTACTTATAATTTTAAGGTAACCTTATTATTGTTATTTTTAAATTCTCAAATAACAATTATACACATTTTAGGACACACAAATGTGATGTAGTGGGTAAAGCTACCACCTGCAGTGCTGACATCTCATATGGGTGCCAGTTCAAGTCCCGGCTGCTCCACTTGGCTCTCTGGCTCTTGTGTCCAATGGGGGAGTGAAATAGTGGATGGAAGACCTCTCTCTCTCTCTGCATCAGCTTCTCTCTGTGTAACTCTGTCAAATAAATAAATAAGTAAATAAAGTATCTTAAAAAAAGAAATATGTATTTATGGTGCAAAGGTTACATCAATATACTCCTTCAACAATCCCCTTAAATTTATTTTTTTTCTTAAGATTTATTTATTTGAAAGGCAGAATTAACAGAGAGAGACCAGGAGACACAGAGAGATTGTCCTTTTGCTGGTTCACTCCCCAAGTGGCTGCAATGGCCAGAGATGGGTTAGGCCAAAGCTGGGAGCTGGTAGCCTCTTCTGGGTCTCCCCTGTGGGTGCAGGGGCCCAAGCACTTGAGCCATTTTCCATTGCTGTCTCAGGCGCATTAGCAGGGAGCTGGATTGGAAGTGGAGCAGCCAGGACGCAAATCGGTGCCCATATGGGATGCTGGCACTGCAGGCCGTGGCTTTACCCGTTATGCCACAGCGCCGGCCCCAAATTTCCTGAACACTGAGTGGGTGGAGCAAATGTTGTGAAATTATGCTCTAGCCATTCCTTGCTTCAATCCTTTAAAAAAAATGTAGTGATTAAACTCCCCTAAACTTTGCCATTGTGACCACTTTTAGGTCAAGGTCAGCCTTGTTATGGATGTTCCCATTGTTGTTTACCCATCTCCACAATCTCACTGTACAAAACTCAAACTCTGGACCGGTGGAGCAAAACCTCTCTTCCTAGTCCCTGGCAGCCCCCACTCTACTTTCTGTCTCCATTACTCTGGCTTCTCTGGGTACCTCATGTAAGTGTAATCATATAGTATCAGTCTGGTTGTGACTGGCTCATTTCCTTTAGCATCATGTTCTCAGGGGTCACCCATGTGGTAACCCATGTCAGAAGTCCCCTTTTCCAAAGCGGAGTAATATTGCATTCCACCTACAGATTACCTTTGTTTTAGCCACTAACCCATCAGTCGGTTGCCTCTGCCCTTTGGTTTATCCACTAACCTGTCAATGGGTTGTTTCCACTCTTTGGCTATTTGTTGAAACCCTTTGGATATGTTCCCATCACCCTTGTCCTTTCAGGGCCACATCCCTCCCAGGGTCTCTGGCCTTAATACTCCTAGTCCCTAGCCCCACTCCCGTAGAAGCATCACCCACATCCTTTTAGGTCTTTGAATTTTCCAAGCTTTTTTCTCAAATACGTTAAGGAATTTATACCTGAAGATATCCCTCTTGACCAATTTCACATTCATTCTTGTCATGTCAACATAGATGCTGCTTCTTCTGTTAGGATTTCACTGGTCTTCTCCAATCCCAGCCCCCATTCAAACACTTGAATCTGCCTTAAGATTTACTCCTGTGGGTCCCTCCGATACTTGAAATGACCTCCCTTGGACACTGATCTTACTGCATTGTTGCCTGGCTCATTCCTCTCTGTGAATGTAAATGATGGGAGGCATGGATTCGCCCCTACCCCCAGAGCATCACATGTGCCTTTGTGGGGGTACACCCTTTGTTTCCTGAAGGAACAAGGAACAAGCACCGCCCTTTCATGACCCTGTTTTCTTACCTGATTTCGGGAAGGTCACTGTTAATACATCTTCTTCATTGACCACAAACTCCTCGTATGCTTTCCTCATGAGTTCTGGGTTGAAACCCACGAAAGGGAAGGCAATCCCTTCGTACCATATATTCTTCTGGGTCATGGTGCCGAGTACGGTGTGCTTGGGATTGAGGCTCAGCAGTAACCACCGTTGGCTGTTATGGCAGTGGCTGGGAGTTCAGATTTTATGGGCCAGACAAAGAATGATTAATCTCTCCCCAGTCTGTTGTGAAATGAACTGGATAAGAAAGAGATATTGGCACTGATGATCAAAAGGTTAGTGGTGTTGAGCAACTGTGAACTCATTCAGAGGACGTTCTGGGAATTTGAGTTCATGGATAGAACTAGGAATCCAGTAATGAGCACAAGACATAGAAGTGTGGATCTACTCAAAAATATATTTTTAAATTATTTTCTTAAAAATTTTTTGACTACCATGGACCAGCACTATGGCATAGCAGGTAAAGCTGCAGCCTGCAGTACCAGCATCCCATATGGGCACCAGTTTGAGTCCCAGATGCTCCACTTCCCACCCAGCTCTTTGCTATGGCCTGGGAAAGCAGTAGAAGATGGATCAAGTCCTTGGGCCCCTGAACCCATGTGGGAGACCTGGAAGAAGCTCCTGGCTCCTGGCTTCAGTTTGGTCCAGCTTCGGCCATTATGGCCATTTTGGGGGTGAACCAGTAGATGGAAGATCTCCCTCTCTCTTTGCCTTTCAAATAAATATATATCTTAAAATTTTTTCTGATTACCTTTTGGATTTTAACTTTTTATGGATTGCAGCATTTCAGCTATAGGTTTTTTTTTTAAGATTTATTCATTTATTTGAAAGGCAGAGAGAGAGAGAGAGAGAGAGAGAGAGAGAGAGAGAGAAAATGAATGAATGAATGAATGAATTTCTACCCACTGGCTCACTCCTCAAATGGCTGCAACAGCTGGGACTGGGCCAGGCCAAAGCTGGGAGCCAGGAGCTTCATCTGGGTCTCCCATGTAGGTAGCAGGGATCCAAATACTTGGGCTATCTTCTTTTTCTTCTTCCTATTCTTTTTTAAAAGTTAGCCAGGAGCCCCATCTGAGACTCCAATGCAGGTGCAAGGGCCCAAGCATTTGGGCCATCCTCCACTGCTCTCCCAGATCATTAGCAGAGAGCTGCATCAGAAGTGGAGCAGCTGGGACTTGACCAACCAGTGCCCATATGGGATGCTGGCACTGCAGACTGGGGCTTTACCTGCTATGCCACAGCGCCGGCCCCTGGGCAATCTTCTGCTGCTTTCCCAGGTGCATTAGAAGGCGATGGATTGGTGGCCGGTGCCGCGGCTCACTAGGCTAATCCTCCGCCTTGCGGCGCCAGCACACCAGGTTCTAGTCCCGGTCGGGGCTCCGGATTCTGTCCCAGATGCCCCTCTTCCAGGCTAGCTCTCTGCTGTGGCCAGGGAGTGCAGTGGTGGATGGCCCAGGTCTTTGGGCTCTGCACCCCATGGGAGACCAGGAAAAGCACCTGGCTCCTGCCATCGGATCAGCGCAGTGCGCCGGCCGCAGCGTGCCAGCCGTGGCGGCCATTGGAGGGTGAACCAATGGCAAAGGAAGACCTTTCTCTCTGTCTCTCTCTCTCACTGTCCACTCTGCCTGTCAAAAGAAAAAAAAAAAAAGGTGATGGATTGGAAGTGGAGGAGCTGGAACCCAAACTGGTGTACACATTGGATGCAGGTGTTGCAGGCTATGGTGTAACCTGCTCTGCTACAATGCCAACCCCCAGCTGTAGGTTTTCATAAATCTTTTTAATAAGCTTCATTTTTTGGCTGGTGCTGCGGCTCACTTGGCTAATCCTCCACCTGCGGCATTGGCACACTGGGTTCTAGTGCTGGTTGAGGCACCGGATTCTGTCCCAGTTGCTCCTCTTCTAGTCCAGCTCTCTGCTGTGGCCCGGGAGGGCAGTGGAGGATGGCCCAAGTGCTTGCGCCCTGCACCCGCATAGGAGACCAGGAGGAGGCACCTGGCTCCTGGCTTCGGATTGGTGTTGTGCGCCGGCTGTACTGGCCATTTGGGGGGTGAACCAACAGAAGCAAGACCTTTCTCTCTGTCTCTCTCTCTCTCTCAGTCTAACTCTGCCTGTCAAAAAAAAAATTTAAAAAATTAAAAAAAAGGTTCATTTTTTAAAGCACAGTTTTAGACTGATAGAAAATTACCAGAGAGAATTTCCATAGTCCACCCTTTATTCAGACTTCCTTACACTTTGCCTAATACATTTTTTTTTTTTGACAGGCAGAGTGGACAGTGAAAGAGAGAGAGAGGGACAGAGAGAAAGGTCTTCTTTTTGCTGTTGGTTCACCCTCCAATGGTCGCCGCGGCTGGCGCGCTGTGGCCGGATCCGAAGCCAGGATCCAGGTGCTTCTCCTGGTCTCCCATGGGGGTGCAGGGCCCAAGCACTTGGGCCATCCTCCACTGCCTTCCCGGGCCACAGCAGAGAGCTGGCCTGGAAGAAGGGCAACCGGGAAAGAATCCGGCGCCCCGACCGGGACTAGAACCCGGTGTGCTGGTGCCGGCCGCCTAATACTCTTTTTTTCTGCTCTGGGCCTCTACACTGGAACCATTTCACATACGGTGGTCTCCTTAAGCTCCTCTGGGCTGTGACAGTGTCTCTACTGTCTTTTTTATTTTTTTAAAGATGTATTTATTTGAAAGGCAGAGTTACAGAGAAAGGGGGAGATCTCCCATGCACTGATTTACTCTGTAAATGGTCACAATAGCCAGGGCTGGGCCAGGCCAAAGACAGGAGCCTGACGCTCCATCTGGGTTTCCCACATGGAGGGCAGAAGCCCATGTTCTTGGGCCGTTATCTTCTGCTTTCCAAGGTGTAGGAAGCTGGGTCAGAAGTGGAGCAGCCGGGACTCAAGCTGTGAGGAGTTTGGGATTCCTGCCTGGGAGGAGGGACCGTGAGCAGGCAGCAAGAGGAATAAGAGGTAGAGAAAGATAGGGAACCTAATGGGTCTCATAGAAGCTAGGCTCTGGCACTGTACCACACCATGCCATGCCATGCTTTGCCACAAAGCAGTGTGTCTCAAGTGCTTAGTAACTGACCCAGTCAGCATAACTGTCCTTAACTGGTCAGGTCAGCACCATTTTTCTTTTTCTTTTTTTTAAAATTTATTTGACAGGTAGAGTTAGACAGTGAGAGAGAGAGAGACGGAGAGAAAGGTCTTCCTTCCGTTGGTTCACTCCCCAAATAGCCATTATGGCCGGCACTGCGCTGATCCGAAGCCAGGAGCCAGGTGCTTCCTCCTGGTCTCCCATGCGGGTGCAGGGCCCAAGCACTTGGGCCATCCTCCACTGCCTTCCTGGGCCACAGCAGAGAGCTGGACTGGAAGAGGAGCAACCGGGACTAGAACCCGGCGCCCATATGGGATGCTGGCGCTGCAGGTGGAGGATTAACCAAGTGAGCTGTGGTGTCGGCCCCCAGCACCATTTTTCAACTGTCACATTTCTCAAGTGGTCAGCAAGGTAACGTTTCTTCCTGGTTAGCAACCACAGATGCTTCCTGAGAGGCAGAGAAGAAACAAAACAGACCCGTGGTGTATCGGAACGATGTAGAAGAACTGATGACCTGGTGTGCACTCCACACAGGAGCTCCCAGCGCCCGGAGCTTGATGGATCCTCCTTTGCTTCTCCTCATGGCAAGCATGCATGTCTGCTTCTCAGCAAATCCACTTTCGTTTTGCTCACCCACCCTCACTGTCCATTTCGTCCCTCTTAGTTGACTGTGAGACAAACAACTGATTCTAATTCTTGCACCAAAGCCAGCACTCTGATATGGGATGTTGGTGTTGCAAGCATCAGCTTAACTCACTGTGCTGCCCTCTCTCTATAAGGTAAGGCCCTCAGATATTTCATTGTGGTGATGAAAACTGAGTAATAGACCTACCACTGCTGACATTGGCCTTGGACGTCAGAGATAATGTCCATCAGAGTTCTCCACTGCCGACAAACTCCTCCTCCTCTTTCTACATGGACTTATTTGTAAAAAAGATTTATTATGGGGCTGGCACTGTGGCTTAACAAGTTGAGCTGCTGCCTATGGTGCTAGCATCCCATGTGGGCACTGGTTTGAGTGTTAATGTGCCTGGGAAAGCAACAGAAGATGGCCCCTGCCCCCACATGGAGACCTGGAAGAAGCTCCTGACTCCTGGCTTCAGATTGGCCCAGCTCTGGCTGTTGTGGGCAGTTGGGGAGTGAACCAGTAGATGGAGATCTCTCTCTCTGTCTCTCCTTTTTTCTCTGTAACTCTTTCAAATAAAAAAAACTTTTAAAAAAAGATTTATTATTTGAGTGGCAGTGTTATACAAACACACACACATATTATTTGAGTGGCAGTGTTACACACACACACACACACACACAATCTTCCATCTGCTGGTTTACTCCCCAAATGGCCAGAATGGCCAGGGCTGGACCAGGCCAAAGCCAGGATTCAGGAGCTAGGAGCTTCATCTGGATCTCCCATGTGGGTGGCAGGGACCCAAACATTTAGGCCATCTTCTGCTGCTTTCCCAGTTGCATTAGCAGAGAGCTGAACTGGTGGGACTCAAACCAATGGACATATGGGATGCTGGCATTGCAAGATGTGGCTTAACCCACCGCACTGCAATACTGGCCCCTGGGAAAATTAACATTCTATATGAGAGAGAAAGAGTGAGAAGGGCCTAGCAAATGTCCATGTTACTGTCTGTGAATCTGGGCCATCTGCAACAAAGAACCTAAGTAATTTTTTGCAATTTTTTTAAGTTTGAAGATATTTTAAAACGAAGGTTAAAATTAAGTAAATCGCAAAACGGTAGCAGCAATAAGCAGAAAGGAAAATGGGAAGCCACAGCTCACCATCTCTGAGTGTGAAGAACTTGTTTCAGCATCTTGCTCAGGTGGGGAGGTTTACATTCAATCAGGACTGCACTGCAGGACCCAGATCTCCTTTGCTGTTTGTTGATCATCTACTGGGCATTTATTATGTGACTCCAGGCTTTAGGAACTGGATTAAGGGGATTCTCCCAGAAAAGCTATGACAGACATTGTTATTTCCATGATCTCGCACTTCTGCTTGTGAGTAGAGGC